TTCATTGGATTTCTTTCTCATTGAATTTCTTTCTGCAACCCTTGGGTATAGTCATTCCTTTCTTCAGGTCTTTTTATTGCTTCCAGAACTCTCTGAAGGGCTGGTTTTATGGAGATGAATTCCTTCCGCCTATTTATGTCATGGAAGATTTTTCTTTCCCTTTGGCTCTAATAGACATTTTGGCTGGGTATAGTAATCTGAGTTGGCATTTGTGGTCATTTAAAACTGGGAATATTTTGGTCCAGGCTCTTCTGGCTTTTGTAGCTTGCACTGAAAAGTCAGTTGTAATCCTAATGGGTTTTCCTTTATATGTGACTTGTTGTTTCTCTTTTGCAGCTTTCAGTATTGTCTCTTTGTTTTGTATGTGTATTGTTTTTGCTGTGATGTGCCGTGGAGAGTTTCTTTTCTGATCCTGTCAGTTTGGTGTTCTATATGCTTCTTGTATTTGTATTAAACTTCTTTAATTTGGGGAAATTTTCTTCCACAATTCTGTTGAAGATCTGGTCCAGGCCATTATCTTGGGTTTCTTCTCCCTCCTGTATGCCTATGATTCGTAAGTTTGGTCTTTTTATGGTGTCATACAATTCCTACATATTCCATTCTTGTGACTTCTTAAATTTTTCATAATCTTTGCTTGAGTGGTCTAGTTCGTCCACTTTATCTTCCAGTCTCGACACTCTGTTTTCCATTTCATTCATCCTAATTGGCTTACTGAGTGTTTCACTTCTTCATTTCCACCTGAGTAGTCTTCAATATTTCTAGCTCTTTTCTGAGTTCCTTTGGAAGTTTATCCCTATCTTCCTTTAGTTCTTTGATTTGTGTGTTTTTTAAATTCACTGTATTCTTTTACCATGTTCATATTTTTTTTTTTCACTCTTTTTGAGATAGGGCCTCCCTGTAGCCCCTGGAACAGGGGCTGTCTTGGAAGTCACTACATAGACCAGGTTGGCCTTGAACTCAAAGAGATCCACCTGCCTCTGCCTCCAGTGTGCTGGGATTAAAGGCGTGAGCCATCATGCCGGCCTATAATTGTTCTTTTGAGTTCCAAGTCCTGCATTATCTCTAGGGGGTTCTCATTGTACTCCTCTAGAGGACTACTGGTATTTGGTGGGGATATGTTATTTTGGTTTTTCATGTTATTATTTTTTCTCTGTGATTTTGACATGTGAATTTCTTTTGTAGTTTCTGACTCTTCAAGTTTAGTTCTGCTTCTTTTATTTTTGAGCTTTATGTGTCTTTGTGGTTTACTTTTTGGGTATGAAGAGCTGGTTCGTCTAAGCTTCTGGTTCTCTCTTTTGATTTTATATTGT